GGATGACTTGGTGCAAGACTGAAAACCAGGTCACGTTCCTGGGCACCCCCGGCGGCGGCAGAGGGGTCCCGCTGGGGGTATGTGCCCGGGTTGAGCCTGCTGTGGAAGGGGATGACAGATCCCGATCCGAGCGGGATGGATGGGATGACAGATCCCGATCTGAGCGGGATGGATGGGCAACTGTCAGGAGTGGGCGAGGTCAGACTAGCCCGGGTCGGAATTGTGCGGCAGCGTGGTACAGGGGGAGTAAGCGGAGAATAGTCGGGGTCACAAGCCAGTTTCAACAGGTAGCGGCGCAACGAGGCACCGAGGTCAGGCAGGAGGATGGTCAGGGACGAGCCGGGGTCAGCAGCATGAGAAGGTAAGCATAAGTCAGAACAGCAGAGTTTGGCAACTAGGAAGCGTACTTACAGGACTGGAACAAGACCTTGCGGCAACCTGGAGATGCACAGGGCAGCTTTAAATAGAGCGCCCTGTTCTCCCATTGGTCTGCGGCCGCGATCGCTACTGCGCATCCTGCGCGGCTGCCGCCGCGATCCGCCGAGGATTCGGTGCTCGCCGGCTGGGAAGGATCGGCAGTCTGCGCATGCGCGCCCACCGCCGAGGACCCGGGATCCCTGACATTTATCTTTGATCAAAGTGATACATATATATGATTGTCTTATCTTCATACTTAACCAATGAAATACCAATCAAAGCTGAGAGCTCTCACAACAAATGGACAGTCATAGAGGACAGATAGGGATAGACAGAGTGGCCACAAGTTTTGTTAAAGCACAGCATGCTGAACAGGTCTTGATCCCCGGATCAGTCCTATATATAGTTGGCAAAGATGATAATGACTGGATCCCTGGATCTCCAGATTGAATGGCATGTCATGGATAGAGGATGAATCAAGATAGTCCCAGTATGCTTTATACTAGAGTTCATATCAAGAATGGCTCCACTTTGAGATCCTGCCTATAGACAATAATGTATAAGATGTAGCCACAAACATCCAAACCAGAGAAGTATTATCTAGACGTGGTCCAGAGGAGGAAACGTGTACTATTATAGGGAAGTTCTAAGGTGTATAATAAACCCAAAGTCACCCTATGTGGGCGTCAACCTCCCTTGCACTTGTAACCGCTACTATGTAGCATACATATATATACTCCGGCTTTATTGCCCGGTACTGGTATCCAGTGCATATGTTGGCTCCAATGCGGAAAATAGATCCTTGATAAAGTAGCAGTATAAAGATTGAGGCCTTCTTCAGACAGACAGTACATATAGGTGGATGATGTCCCTTTTTAGAAAATGTATTGGATTGGTATACTTATCAGTCCATTCTTAAGTCCAATATTGATCCAGACATGGCCGATGACTCGCCTGACCGGTTTTCGCCAGTCCCTCCCGGCTTCATCAGAGGCAAGGGTATAGATCAGCAATGGGCAAACTACGGCCTGGCGGACCTTTTAATCCGGCCCGCGGAGCGTGATGCTGTCAGGATGTGTGTAGGGCGGGGCAGCGTGACGAACGTGAGGGGAGCTAGGCTCCTCTCACAGTCTGCCCTGAAGACTGGAACGGCGCGGGAACACGGCGAGAGGAACGCGTAGAGCAAAGGTAAGTGAATTGACACAGGGGGGACTTAATATGGGGGATGAATTTAATATGGGGGATGAATTACTATAGGGGGGATGAATTACTATAGGGGGGATGAATTACTATAGGGGGGATGAATTACTATATGGGGGATGAATTACTATATGGGGGATGAATTACTATATGGGGCGATGAATTACTATATGGGGCGATGAAATTACTATATGGGGGATGAATTACTATATGGGGGATGAATTACTATATGGGGGATGAATTACTATATGGGGGATTAATTACTATGCTTACTTTGGGGGAATATTACTATACTTACTATGGCTGACACATACACATCATTCATCTACTCTTGGTCCGGCCCCCGGGTCCAATATATGAACCCATTGCGGCCCTCAAGTCAAAAAGTTTGCCCACCCCTGGTATAGATCTACCATTGAAGGATGTTAAGTATATAAAGTCATATATACAACAGATGTACTATTTATATTTCAATAATGTTTACTGGAAATTTTTACATAAAAATACAAAGATATACCCGTATGCAGGAGATAACATTCTACAGTCATTGATAACATTAAAGAAAAAAAAAAACAGGTAAACAGAACAGAGAGACAAAAAAAAAAAAAATCATAAAAAGGCCAGTGACACAATAACGTTTACATTTAAAATGTCAAAGCTTAGAGAGATCACCTAAGGAACATTCTACCAAAGTGAGGTGTTCACACAGTTGGGTTTGTTTGGTACCATCTGAGCCAAGGTTGCCATAGGGCAAGTACTTTTCTATATTTACTTTTGCTAGAGGCCATCACAAGTTCATAAGAACGTTGCCTGTGAACTAATGCGATTGCATCAAACGCAGTGGGCGGGTGAGAGGGTTTCCAAGATCTAGTGATACTCAATCTAGCTGCCAAAAGAATGTGGGTGACAGAGTGTTTAGCATGGGGGATAATTAAATTCAGTAACGCAAAATCAGGATTCAGGGGAACAGAGGACCGTGAAATAGCAGATAAAATTTGAAAAATTGTAGACCAGAAGTTGTTTAGGAGCGGACAACGCCAAATTATGTGAATAAAGCTCCCAGGGTTCCCACAGTTCCTCCAGCACAAAGGAGATACTTGGGTTATTAAAGCGCGCCATTTTAACGGGAGATACCATCTAAGGGATATTTTTTGTGGTAATTCCCATAGTGTCGAGCAGCAAGTGGCTTTGTAAATTGATTGAAATAAGTGAAGCCATTGTTGCTCAGTATAAATGTAGGCAAGATCATCCTCCTATTGGAGAAGTGGTTTAACCTTAGTAAATGATTCCTTTTGGTTTAAGATATTGTAGAAAAGTGAAATACCTCAGATGTACTATTTAAGTAGATTACATTAAGTATATAAAGTCTTGGCTTTGGTTTCTTGTGGAAAGTATTTTGTTTTCTTTTTCCAATCTTTATATGGTTTTGTAAAAATCATGTATACTGTAGATCTACTGTTGAAGTACATGAAGTAAATAAAGTCATTGAAGGACATTAGATACAATAAAGCCATGCATAGATGTTCTGTTGAAGGACAATAGATACATAAAGCCATACATAGATGTTCTGTTGAAGGACAATAGATACATAAAACCATACATAGATGTTCTGTTGAAGGACAATAGATACATAAAACCATACATAGATGTTCTGTTGAAGGACAATAGATACATAAAGCCATACATAGATGTTCTGTTGAAGGACAATAGATACATAAAGCCATACACAGATGTTCTGTTGAAGGACAATAGATACATAAAGCCATACATAGATGTTCTGTTGAAGGACAATAGATACATAAAGCCATACACAGATGTTCTGTTGAAGGACAATAGATACATAAAGCCATACACAAATACACTCGATTAGCCAGTCTGTCTCCCCACTGATTCCTGAAGAGAATAAAGTGAACTCACTACTCTCTCATTTTGTCATCCCCATTAAACTTGTCTCCGAGGGCCGTGAAATCTCCTGCTCAGCTACGCTGGACTCCGGGGCGGGGGGGGAACTTTATGGATATAGAATTTGACCACAACAATAATATTCAAGCAAGAAATACATTTACCCCTATTGATATGGAGACAGTTGATGGGTCACCCTTATCTTCAGGACCTGTTACCCATAAAACGGTTCCCCTGGTACTGTTGTTTGTGGCTGACTATTGTGAGACCATCAGCTTTCAGCTGATTACGTTTCCAAGTTTCCCATCATCCTGGGCATTCCTTGGTTCTCCACTCACAATCCTTCCATGAACTGGGGAGCATGGACTATAGATTTTACATCCCCCCACTGTGAGAAATATTGCAAAAAAACTTTTCAGACCAAGTTGGTCATTGGCCAAGGAATCGCAAAGTCATATAGTAGCTATCCAGTCATATGACAACTTGCCCCCACATTACCATGAGTTCCGGGATGTCTGTGACAAGAAAAATGCTGATCAATTATCTCCTCATTGCCCATATGATTGCCCCATTGAGCTGCTCCCAGGGGCAGAAATACCTTTTGGCCGCCTTTTCAACCTGTCGGAACCTGAATTAAAAGCACTCAGGGTGTGGATTGCTGAGAACTTAGAGGAGGGCTTTATTAGACACTCAACATCTCCTGCAGGAGCAGCCCTGTTCTTCATTGAAAAGAAAGACTCCACCTTGCGTCCATGCATTGGCTACAAAGACATGAATATAATCACTATTAAAAATCGCTATCCACTACCCTTGATCTCTGAAATGTTGGAAAGACTTTGTTCTGCCAAAATCTGTACAAAACTTGATTTACGAGGGGCATAAAACCTTGTCCGCTTTGGTCAAGGAGACGAATGGAAAACAGCTTTCAGAACCAGGTATGGGCATTTCAAATCCTTGGTGATGCCGTTTGGACTTTGCAACGCCCCTGCAACGTTTCAGCATTTTATCAATGATGTTTTTCGTGATCTGTTGGACCACTTTGTGATTGCCTATCTGGATGATATTCTTATCTTTTCCGATAATTGGGAGGAGCACCACAAACATGTCTGCACTGTTGAAAGATTAAGGGAGAATAGACTTTACATTAAATTGGAGAAATGTGAGTTTGAACAAACCCAGATCCACTTCTTAGGCTATATCATTTCTCCAGAGGGAGTAAGCATGGATCCTGAGAAGATCAAAGCAGTGGTAGATTGGTCAGCACCTGGAGATGTTAAGGAAATTCAACATTTTGTCGGGTTTGCCAACTTCTACAGAAAATTTATACGAAACTTTTCTAAAGTGATAGCTCCAATCACACAGCTGACAAAGAAAGGGGTACCCTTCGTGTGGACTCCTGAGCCACAGGCTGCGTTTGAAAAGCTGAAAGCTCTTTTCACTTCTGCACCAATTTTGCACATCCTGATCCTGAACTACCCTTTATTGGAACACCTGAATCACATGATTGGGAACACCTGAATCACATGATTGGGAACACCTGAATCACATGATTGGGAACACCTGAATCACATGATTGGGAACACCTGAATCACATGATTGGGAGGGGATTGGAACACCTGAATCACATGATTGGGAACACCTGAATCCCATGATATGGAGGGGATTGGAGCACCTGAATCACATGATTTGGAGGGGATTAGAGCACCTGAATCACATGTGTCACGATATAAGGTCAGGTTCAGAGACCAGTTGCTATAGCAGTAAAAGGCTTACCTGAAACCAGCAGGATAGGTACACCAGCGGATCCCCCTGGGAATGACGCAGGCTCACCTGAGGTGCGGGGTCTAAGTATTAACCGGTATTCACCAGAGCTCCTAATGGTGGAGATGGATTGGGCTGCGTGTTAATACCAGGTCGCAGATCTCAGGATCACCCCACCAGGGAATGAGCAGACTGGGAACCAATAGCAGATCAACAGGTTAGGGATCAGACGAAAGCAGAGTCAGTCACAAGCCAAGGGTCGGTCACAAATGGTAGCAGATCAATCGTAGTACGTTAGGATGAGACGAAATCGTGGTCAGGAACAAGCCAAAGGTCAGTAGCGGAGGTGTAGACAGCAGCAGGAACAGTAGCGGGATATTGGCTGGAAAGGCACAATAATCTGGCAAGGAGGAAGTCCAAGGACATGGCTTATATAGGAAGTTCATGGGAGGAGCAAGGAGTTCAAGGTTCAAGAGCAAACAAGGCACAAGGCAGGATTATCCAAGAATTGTCAAGGGAGCTGTCCAGCATTCCAGATAGCTCAGTGAGAAGAGACATTGCCTCTAACTGCAGAAGGACCAGGTTCAATCCCAGGCTCTGACAACATGATTGGGAGGGGATTGGAACACCTAAATCACATGATTTGGAGGGGATTGGAACACCTGAATCACATGATATAGAGGGGATTGGAGCACCTGAATCATGTGATTGGGAGGGGATTGGAGCACCTGAATCACATGAGTGGGAGGGGATTGGAGCACCTGAATCACATGATTGGGAGGGACAATACTTTTGGCAACCTGTGTATATCTCATGGTAAATCCACTTTAAGGTTCTTTTACTTTTAGACTTTTTTTTTTTTCCCTTTTATTTTACATTCAGGTTTTCTTTATCGGATTCATCTGACATTCTTCCTCTTTGTTTTCACGACCTTAAAAAGAGTCCTCCTGACAGTTGGGAACACGAGGGTCCGATCTCCCCTTTCGCCGACCCCACAACATCTGGACCGGCAGCTTTTTGCGCCGCGCCTAATTCCTGTAGGTGTTGGCGATTTCACTCATCATTCTCACATTAAAGCGAAGGGGAGAAGGAGTGAGCGGCGCTATGGATAGACATGACAGGTAATTAAAATATCAAGGTCAAAGTCATCCGTGTGGAGGGAGGAGAGCGAGTTCTCCCGCGATCATCTGTCACTCCGCGAACATTGCACCAGGCGTCTTCTCACTTATTTGGCTGCAATATTCTTGCCGTCCTCCATGACAGCGCAGCCCATGCTGAGCGCTTAATATTTACCACAAAGTCATTCCTCTCCGCTGTTGTATACGGTATTTACGGGACGGGGCGAGGGAACCAGAACCGAGTGCACAGGGGTCAGATAAAAGGAAAACAAGAAAATAGAATAAAAAATACATTACCCTTTGTGACCAACGCCAAAACAAACCTCAAAGTGTTATGTAGCATTACCCCCCCCCCCCCCCCCCCCCCCCCCGCCATCATGGAAGAAAAATATATTTGAAATATATTTAAAAAATATTCTTCCCAAATATATTTACATATAATTGGAACACTGCAATTTTGGCCGTATTCAATTTATTTCAATATATATATATACACTGTATGTTGAAATGTGTTTTTTTATATATTATAAAATATATGCAAAATATTTTTAAAAATATATATTTTTTAAATATATTCTACAGATTTTTTTTTAACATATAGAAAAGTCATTTTAACGTATATTTTTACATTTGTTTGTAAATGCGTTCCAAAAATGTAGATTTGTATTTTTAACCCCTTCCATACCGGGCAATTTTACACCTTCCTGCCCAGGTCAGTTTTCAGGTTTCAGCGCTCTCACACTTTGAATGACAATTGCGCGGTCATACAACATTGTACCCAAACTAAAATTTGATCATTTTCTTCACACAACTAGAGCTTTCTTTTGGTGGTATTTAATAATCGCTGGGGTTTTTATTTTTTTGCTAAATTAACAAAAAAATGACCAAAAATTTTGAAAAAAAAAAAGTTTTTCTTTGTTTCTGTTATAAAAGTTTGCAAATAAATAATTGTTCTTCATAAATTTAGGCCGAGATGTATTCTGCTACATGTCTTTGGTGAAAATAACCCAAATTAGGATGTATTATTTAGTCTGTAGGAAAGTTATCGAGTTCACAAACTATGGTATAGATCTGAAAATTGATCAGTCCTGAAGTACTGACAGCCAATTAATTTCTTGAGATCCAAGAATGTCAGGACAGTACAGATATCCCCCAAATGTCAGAACAGTACAGATATCCCCCAAATGTCAGAACAGTACAGATATCCCCCAAATGTCAGGACAGTACAGATATCCCCCAAATGTCAGGACAGTACAGATATCCCCAAATGTCAGGACAGTACAGATATCCCCCAAATGTCAGGACAGTCCAGATATCCCCCAAATGTCAGAACAGTACAGATATCCCCCAAATGTCAGGACAGTACAGATATCCCCAAATGTCAGGACAGTACAGATATCCCCCAAATGTCAGGACAGTACAGATATCCCCCAAATGTCAGAACAGTACAGATATCCCCCAAATGTCAGGACAGTACAGATATCCCCCAAATGTCAGGACAGTACAGATATTCCCCAAATGTCAGGACAGTACAGATATCCCCCAAATGTCAGGACAGGGACAGATATCCCCCAAAATGTCAGGACAGTACAGATATCTCCCAAATGTCAGGACAGTACAGATATCCCCCAAATGTCAGGGACGGTACAGATATCCCCCAAATGTCAGAACAGGTCAGAACAGATATCCCCCAAATGTCAGAACAGTACAGATATCCCCCAAATGTCAGGACGGTACAGATATCCCCCAAATGTCAGGACAGTACAGATATCTCCCCAAATGTCAGGACAGTACAGATATCCCCCAAATGTCAGGACAGTACAGATATCCCCCAAATGTCAGAACAGTACAGATATCCCCCAAATGTCAGAACAGTACAGATATCCCCACAAATGTCAGTACAGATATCCCCCAAATGACCCCTTTTTGCAGAGTAGACAGTCCGACGTACTTCATAAGAGGAATGGCGAGTTTTTTTGAAGTTGTATTTTTTTTGTCATAATTTTTCGGAAAATGAAAAAAATTAAAAAAATGATTTTCACAATTTTTTTTTTTACATACTGTCACCAGTGCAGTACAGCGTCATCATATAACTGGCATGGCGGTGATCAGGGGACACTGACTGATGACAGTATGAAAAAAAAATAAATATATATATATATATATTTATATATATTTTTTTTTTATTATTTTTAATTTTTTATTACTTTTTTTTTCTTATTTTTTGTAAGATTTTTTTTTCATATTTTACTATGACCAAAGTAGTACACAATGTTACCATAGTAACATTGTACTACTTTGGGGAAGTGATCAGTATTTTTTTTTTTTTTTTTACACAATTTGCTTATAGCAAAGAATTACTTTCCCATAAGCAAGCATTTACACTGAATGAAATCGATTCATTCAGGGTTTTTTTTTTTTTTTTTTTTTGTGCTTAGCTATGATTTGGCCACAGCTAATCACATGACATGTGCATGTGACCTGCTGTGACCATTCACAGCTAGACACTAGTATACAATGGATGGCATGAATGAAGCCATCCATTGTATACAACTGTCATGTGACCTGCTGTGATTGGTCACAACAGGTCACATGGTACCAGCAACGGGGGCCGGTACACAGATCTGTCATCGGCCGTGTCCGAGGTACATGGCCAGTGATAAGATCACCCTGCTGCACGCTCTGCAACCGTGCGCAAACTGCACTATGTGCGGGAGGACGCCAAATGGCGCACACCCCTGAAAGCTACAGCATTTTTGCGGGCCGCCAAACGGCTATAGTCCGGGCGTCAGATGGTTAAAGACATGCGGAATATTTGAAATGTATTTTTAAAAATATTTTGCATATAGTTTGAAATAAAAATCATTTCAACATGCAGTATATATATATATATTTTTTTTTTTCTTGAATTACTTTTTTATATGTTAAAAAAAAATCTGAAGTATATATTTAAAAAAATATATTTTTAAAATGGTTTCTGCTGCTGCTCGGGTCCTATGTGAAGGGGAAGAGAGGGGAGAAGAGGTGCAGCGGTGCACAGCTCTGGATCTATTCTCCCCTCTCTCTCCCCTTAACACAGGGAAGGGGGAGGGGCCCGAGAAATAGAAACGTTTTTCACCATAATACAAGGAATGCATTAAGTTAAAAAAAAAAATATCTTTGGTATCACTTTAACGCCCCAATGGAAACCAGTGGAAGGATTGGCAGCAAGGAATGGTGGACACTGAATGGAGGCCAGTGGAGGGATTGGCAGAGAGGGGTGGAGGACACTGAATGGAGGCCAGTGAAGGGATTGGCAGAGAGGGATGGAGGACACTGAATGGAGGCCAGTGGATGGATTGGCAGAGAGGGATGGAGGACACTGAGTGGAGGTCAGTGGGGGATTGGCAGAGAGGGGTGAAGGACACTGAGTGGAGGCCAGTGGAGGGATTGGCAGAGAGGGGTGGAGGACACTGAATGGAGTCCAGTGGAGGGATTGGCAGAGAGAGGTGGAGGACACTGAGTGGAGGCCAGTGGAGGGATTGGCAGAGGGGGTGGGGGTCATTGAATGGAGGCCATTGGAAGGATTGGTAGAGAGGGGTGGGGGACACTGAATGGAGGCCAGTGGAGGGATTGGCAGAGAAGGGTGGAGGACACTGAATGGAGGCCAGTGGAGGGATTGGCAGAGAGGGGTGGAGGCCAGTGGAGGATTGGCAGAGAGGGGTGGAGGGACAGTGAATGGAAGCCAGTGGGAAGGATTGGTTGAGAGGGTTGAGGGACACTGAATGGAGGCCAGTTGAGGGAATATCAGAGAGGGGTGGATAATACTGAATGGAGGCCAGTGAAGGGATTGGCAGAGAGGGATGGGAGGACACTGAATGGAGGCCAGTGGATGGATTGGCAGAGAGGGATGGAGGACACTGAGTGGAGGTCAGTGGTGAGATTCATAGAGGGGTGGTGGACACTGAATGGAGGCCAGTGGAGGGATTGGCAGAAAGGGGTGGAGAACACTGAATGGAGGCCAGTGGAGGGATTGGCAGAGAGTGGTGGAGGACACTGAATGGAGGCCAGTGGAGGGATTGGTAGAGAGGGGTGGGGGACACTGAATGAAAGCCAGTAGAGGGATTGGCAGAGAGGGATGGAGGACACTGAATGGAGGCAAGTGGAGGAATTGGCAGAGAGGGGTGGAGGACATTGAATGGAGGCCAGTGGATGGATTGGCAGAGAGGGGTGGAGGACACTGAATGGAGGCCAGTGGAGGGATTGGCAGAGAGGGGGGAGGACATTGAGTATCTGCCAAGATAGATGTTTCTGGGATCAGCATTCATGAAAGACTGAAGGGCCCTGTGTAGAGGAGGCCCATGAAGAAGGTGATGAAATGGTGAGGGTGAGAGATACAATGAATGGCCTTGAGGTCGTTTCCATACGTAGACTTGTAATAATAGAAAGGAAGGAGCGCCCGATGCCAGAAGAACGCACTTTTGATGGTGGACCAGGAGGCATTAGCTCCACCATGACCTGGAGAACCTCCACAGACAGACCCGTAATTGGGTACTTTAATAAAAAGGGCACATGGCTCCAAGACGTCTCCGGAAATTCATGCAGAAATAACCTGAAGGGCAACTCAGAGATAAACGGACGCAACGCGGCCTCCGGTACGGCAACGCTTTCCACCGATCGTCTTCATAGCATCCTTCTTCATCTTGGAAAACCCATTTCAGAAATGAGGCCCCTCCGCCGTGCTGGGTGGGCCCCGGACCCTCCCCACGGAGAGCAGGTGCACGCGAGGTCTATTTCAATTACATTTTGCATAGAAGTGATACGCGGAGAAGTCGAGTTAATTATACAATCTGCGCAGCCAAGTGAAGTTTGGCGAGGAAAACCCCTCAGGGCGAGAAAGGTAATTTATTCTTCATGCCTGGGAAGTACTTTTGGTGGGGAGATGATAATTCTTTTTATGTTCGGACCGAGCATAGAATGCGTTTCTCTTTTTTTCTCCGGAATTCTTTCGAGTTGCGCTCTTCTTTGTTCCGCTGATTGGAAGGCGCGTGCGTTATAAAGTGTTACAGAGTAATTAAAGTTGTTATTCTAGGATTGGAAATTTCAGATAATGAGATTAGAAGTCGTTCTTTCCTGTTCCCGGCACAGTTGCTGCTCTTTGATTGGAAATTATCTCGTAGTCCCGAGAGTTCCCGATCCTTCGGAAAAAGTTCCCGTTCTCCGCCGTTTGCAGAATTGTGTTGTCTATGACAGGATCCCGAAACTCGGAGCCTCAGATGTTCTGCTGCGAGCAACCCGAGATCTAGGCGAAAGGATGTTACTTAACAGCAAGCGAGGATAGGAGCGAGGAGAGGAGCGAGGAGAGGAGCGAAGAGAGGAGTGAAGAGAGGAGAGGACCGAAGAGAGGAGGAGAGGAGAGAGCGAAGAGAGGAGCGAAGAGAGGAGCAAAGAGAGGAGGGAGGAGGGAGCGAAAAGAGGAGCGAGGAGAGGAGCGAAGAGAGCAGAGGAGAGAGAGAGGAGAGAGGAGAGGAGCGAAGAGAGGAGCGAAGAAGAGAGGAGAGAGGAGAGGAGCAGAGGAGGAGGAGAGAGAGAAGAGAGGAGGGGACCGAAGAGAGGAGCAAGGAGAGGAGAGGAGGAAAAGAGGAGCGAGGAGAGGAGCGAAGAGAGGAGGGACCGACGAGAGGAGCGAGGAGAGGAGCGAGGAGAGGAGCAAAGAGAGGAGCGAAAGAGAGGAGCGAGAGAGGAGAGAGGAGGGAGTGGAAAGAGGAGTGAGGAGAGGAGCGAAGAGAGGAGAGGGAGAAGAGAGAGAGGAGAAAGAGAAGAGGGCGAGGAGAGGAGGGAGGAGGGAGCGAAGAGAAGAGAGGAGAGGAGCGAAGAGAGGAGGGTGGAGAGGAGCGAAGAGAAGAGGAGAGGAGCAAAGACAGGAGTGAGGTGAGGAGTGAAGAGAGGAGAGAAGAGAGGAGCGAGGAGAGGAGAGGGAGCGAAGAAAGGAGCGAGGAGAGGAGCAAGAGGGAGGAGCGAAGAGAAGAGCGAGAAGAGGAGCGAAGAGAGGAGAGGACCGAAGAGAGGAGCAAGGAGAGGAGAGGAGTGAAAAGAGGAGCGAGGAGAGGAGCAAAGAGAGGAGAGGACCGAAGAGAGGAGCGAGGAGAGGAGATTAATGAAGTGTAAAAACATTCTGACTGCATAAAAAATAATCCTCCATCTGGCACAGCTGTGACACATGCCTCTCGGAATTCTGGACTAATGGAGGACTCCGCTCCTTCCTGTATAACTCCTCTCCTGAAATACTCTGCGGCTGGAGGACTCCGCTCCTTCCTGTATAACTCCTCTCCTGAAATACTCTGCGCTGCTGGAGGACTCCGCTCCTTCCTGTATAACTCCTCTCCTGAAATACTCTGCGCTGCTGGAGGACTCCGCTCCTTCCTCTATAACTCTCCTCTCCTGACATACTCTGCGCTGCTGGAGGACTCCACTACTTCCTCTATAACTCTCCTCTCCTGAAATACTCTGCGCTGCTGGAGGACTCCGCTCCTTCCTCTATAACTCCTCTCCTGAAATACTCTGCGCTGCTGGAGGACTCCGCTCCTTCCTCTATAACTCTCCTCTCCTGAAATACTCTGCGCTGCTGGAGGACTCCGCTCCTTCCTCTATAACTCCTCTCCTGAAATACTCTGCGCTGCTGGAGGACTCCTCTCCTTCCTCTATAACTCTCCTCTCCTGAAATACTCTGCGCTGCTGGAGGACTCCGCTCCTTCCTCTATATAACTCTCCTCTCCTGAAATACTCTGCGCTGCTGGAGGACTCCGCTCCTTCCTCTATAACTCCTCTCCTGAAATACTCTGCGCTGCTGGAGGACTCCGCTCCTTCCTCTATAACTCTCCTCTCCTGAAATACTCTGCACTGCTGGAGGACTCCTCTCCTTCCTCTATAACTCCTCTCCTGAAATACTCTGCGCTGCTGGAGGACTCCTCTCCTTTCTCTATAACTCTCCTCTCCTGAAATACTCTGCGCTGCTGGAGGACTCCGCTCCTTCCTCTATAACTCTCCTCTCCTGAAATACTCTGCGCTGCTGGAGGACTCCGCTCCTTCCTCTATAACTCTCCTCTCCTGAAATACTCTGCGCTGCTGGAGGACTCCGCTCCTTCCTCTATAACTCTCCTCTCCTGAAATACTCTGCACTGCTGGAGGACTCCTCTCCTTCCTCTATAACTCCTCTCCTGAAATACTCTGCGCTGCTGGAGGACTCCGCTCCTTCCTCTATAACTCCTCTCCTGAAATACTCTGCACTGCTGGAGGACTCCGCTCCTTCCTCTATAACTCTCCTCTCCTGAAATACTCTGCACTGCTGGAGGACTCCGCTCCTTCCTCTATAACTCCTCTCCTGAAATACTCTGCGCTGCTGGAGGACTCCTCTCCTTCCTCTATAACTCCTCTCCTGAAATACTCTGCGCTGCTGGAGGACTCCGCTCCTTCCTCTATAACTCCTCTCCTGAAATACTCTGCTCTGCTGGAGGACTCCTCTCCTTCCTCTATAACTCTCTCCTCTCCTGAAATACTCTGCACTGCTGGAGGACTCCGCTCCTTCCTCTATAACTCTCCTCTCCTGAAATACTCTGCACTGCTGGAGGACTCCTCTCCTTCCTCTATAACTCTCCTCTCCTGAAATACTCTGCACTGCCGGAGGACTCCACTCCTTCCTCTATAACTCCTCTCCTGAAATACTCTGCGCTGCTGGACTACTCCGCTCCTTCCTCTATAACTCCTCTCCTGAAATACTCTGCTGCTGCTGCTGGAGGACTCTGCTCCTTCCTCTATAACTCCTCTCCTGAAATACTCTGCACTGCTGGAGGACTCCTCTCCTTCCCTCTATAACTCTCCTCTCCTGAAATACTCTGCACTGCTGGAGGACTCCTCTCCTTCCTCTATAACTCCTCTCCTGAAATTCTCTGCACTGCTGGAGGACTCCGCTCCTTCCTCTATAACTCCTCTCCTGAAATACTCTGTGCTGCTGGAGGATCCGCTCCTTCCTCTATAACTCTCCTCTCCTGAAATACTCTGCACTGCTGGAGGACTCCTCTCCTTCCTCTATAACTCTTCTCTCCTGAAATTCTCTGCGCTGCTGGAGGATCCGCTCCTTCCTCTATGACTCTCCTCTCCTGAAATATACCACTGAGCTAACAATCCCCCCTATGGCTGTATCCAGGGTGTGACAATGTAATTTCTGGAATGCAGCAGTGTAGTGCTGTAGTGGTGAGTCTCAGCCATTCGCACTTGTGGTGTTCTGACATGTTCTGGCTCACACTCTCCTGGGTCGCAGACCAGTGGGCTCGGTCTTTACGGAGTAGTAGAAGAAATAATATGTGTGTGCGTTGTGTTGTTGGCAGAAAATAAGTGTCAGAAATCTAAAGGAGCCGATTAGAATTATATTTTGGAAAAAAAAGAGTGAGTGAAACTTCAGCTCTGTAACAGCAGCTTTATGGTGAACATTCCATGAAGAAATCAAGTGTTTTTGGGTGGCATAGGTGGTTCAAGGAGGAACATGTCCACCATGACACAAGGACATGGTCAATGGTCAACCAAGATTGTTACTTGGAATGTTATGAAAAGGTTACAGCAATCTGATCGGAGGAAAAAAAACGAAGCTCTGGCCTGACAAGTGGATTCTCCACCACGACAGTGCTCCTGCACATAATGCAGTAAGTGTTTCCTGGCCCAGAAATCCATTCCGAAACTTTACCAACCGCCTTTTTCCCCTGACTTAGTTTCCCTGCGACTTTCAGCTGTTTCCAAAAATTACAATATCTGTACTGTTCTGACATTTGTGGGGATTTGTACTGTCCTGACATTTGGGGGGATATCTGTCCTGTCCTGACATTTGGGGGATATCTGTACTCTCCTGACATTTGGGGGATATCTGTACTGTCCTGACATTTGGGGGATATCTGTCCTGTCCTGACATTTGGGGGATATCTGTACTGTCCTGACATTTGGGGGATATCTGTCCTGTCCTGACATTTGGGGGATATCTGTCCTGTCCTGACATTTGGGGGATATCTGTACCGTCCTGACATTTGGGGGATATCTGTACCGTCCTGACATTTGGGGGATATCTGTACCGTCCTGACATTTGGGGGATATCTGTACCGTCCTGACATTTGGGGGATATATCTGTACCGTCCTGACATTTGGGGGATATCTGTCCTGTCCTGACATTTGGGGGGATATCTGTACTGTCCTGACATTTGGGGGATATCTGTCCTGTCCTGACATTTGGGGGGATATCTGTACTGTCCTGACATTTGGGGGATATCTGTACTGTCCTGACATTTGGGGGATATCTGTACCGTCCTGACATTTGGGGGATATCTGTACCGTCCTGACATTTGGGGGATATCTGTCCTGTCCTGACATTTGGGGGGATATCTGTACTGTCCTGACATTTGGGGGATATCTGTCCTGTCCTGACATTTGGGGGGATATCTGTACTGTCCTGACATTTGGGGGGTATCTGTCCTGTCCTGACATTTGGGGGGATATCTGTACTGTCCTGACATTTGGGGGATATCTGTCCTGTCCTGACATCTGGGGGGATATCTGTACTGTCCTGACATTTGGGGGATATCTGTACTGTCCTGACATTTGGGGGGTATCTGTACTGTCCTGACATTTGGGGGATATCTGTACCGTCCTGACATTTGGGGGATATCTGTCCTGTCCTGACATTTGGGGGGATATCTGTACTGTCCTGACATTTGGGGGATATCTGTCCTGTCCTGACATTTGGGGGGATATCTGTACTGTCCTGACATTTGGGGGGTATCTGTCCTGTCCTGACATTTGGGGGGATATCTGTACTGTCCTGACATTTGGGGGATATCTGTCCTGTCCTGACATTTGGGGGGATATCTGTACTGTCCTGACATTTGGGGGATATCTGTACTGTCCTGACATTTGGGGGGTATCTGTACTGTCCTGACATTTGGGGGATATTTGTACTGTCCTGACATTTGGGGGATATCTGTACTGTCCTGACATTTGGGGGATATCTGTACTGTCCTGACATTTGGGGGATATCTGTACTGTCCTGACATTTGGGGGATATCTGTACTGTTCTGACATTTGGGGGATATCTGTACTGTTCTGACATTTGGGGGATATCTGTACTGTTCTGACATTTGGGGGATATCTGTACTGTACTGTTCTGACATTTGGGGGATATCTGTACTGTCCTGACATTTGGGGGATATCTGTACCATCCTGGCATTTGGGGGATATTACCGTCCTGACATTTGGGGGATATCTGTACTGTTCTGACATTTGGGGGATATCTGTACTGTTCTGACATTTGGGGGATATCTGTACCATCCTGGCATTTGGGGGATATCTGTACCGTCCTGACATTTGGGGGATATCTGTACTGTCCTCCTGACATTTGGGGGATATCTGTACCGTTCTGACATTTGGGGGATATCTGTACTGTTCTGACATTTGGGGGATATCTGTACCATCCTGGCATTTGGGGGATATCTGTACCGTCCTGACATTTGGGGGATATCTGTACCGTCCTGACATTTGGGGGATATCTGTACCGTTCTGACATTTGGGGGGGTATCTGTACCGTTCTGACATTTGGGGGATATCTGTACTGTTCTGACATGTTTGGGCCTCAAGAAATTAGATTGTCCGTCAGTACTTCAGGATTAATCAATTTTCAGATATATCTCATAGTTTGTGAACTCGATAACTTCCCCACAGACTAAATAATAAACATAGATTTGGGTTGGACTTTCACCAAAGACATGGAGCAGAATACATCTCGGCATACATTTATGAAGAACAATTATTTATTTGCAAACTTTTATAGCAGAAACAAAGAAAAACATGTTTTTTTTCGAAAAAAAAAAAAAATTTTTTTTGTTGATTTAGCAAAAAATAAAAGCCCAAAGGTGATGAAATACCACCAAAAGAAAGTTCTAGTGGTGTGAGCAAAAAAAAAAAAAAAAAAAAATTAGTTTGGGTACAGTATTGCATGACCGTGCAATTGTCATTCAAGGTGTGTGAGCGCTGAAACCTGAACATTGGCCTGGGCAGGAAGGGGGTAAAAGTGCCTGGTATGGAAGGGGTTTAAGCGATGCTCCACCTGAAAGGGGAAGTTCCGCTTTAAGGACTGTTCCCCCGCTCCCCATTAAGGATTGGCACCTTTGGGAGGCGGGGGGTACCTGAATTTGACATGTACCCACTCCCAATTGCGGTTAGATCGCCTAGGTGATCAGAAGCGGAAGTTGTCCTCCCTCCCTGTAGTCTTGAGGGACACGTGACAGGTCCCAGAAGACTACAGGACCATTCATTAAGCGCAGCGATACTCGCGCGCATGCGCAGTGGGTACTCGGCTGTGAAGCCGCAAGCTGTGCCCACACACTGAAGATGCCGGCCTCCAGGAATACAGGATGGCCGGTGAAATGGGTTGCGGGGGACACACCACGATACAGAAGAACAGGTAAGTGGCTGTTTTTTAAAAGCTCAGCAGCTACAGTTTTTTTACAGTTTTTGTAGCAGATGACTTATATTTGGACAGGGTGCGTGGAACTCCGCTTTAATGGGGAGCGGGGCAGCAGTCCTTGAAGTGGAACTTCCCCTTTTGAGTGGAGCTCCACTTTAAGTATATAAAGTCATATATACAATAGATGTAATATTTAAGGACATTACATTAAGTACAGTTGCAAGAAAAAGTATGTGAACCCCTTGGGATTACGTGGAATTTTGCATGAATTGGGCATAAAATGTGCTCTGAACGTCATCTAAGTCACAACAATAGAAGAACACAGTCTGCTGAACATAATACTACACAAACATTAGATGTTGCAATGGTTTAATTGCACATAACATGTAAACATTCACAGTGCAGGGAGGAAAAAGTATGTGAGGCCCTAGCTTAATGACTTCTCCCAGAGCTAATTGGAGCCAGGAGTGAGCCAACCTTGAGTCCAATCAGTGTGATGATATTGGATGTGTTGCTGACAGCTGCCCTGCCCTTAAAAAACACACACCTGTTTTGGGTTTACTGGTTTCAAGAAGCACTGTCTTATGTGAACCATGCCTCGCAGAAAAGAGCTCTCAGAAGACCTACGATCAAGAATTATTGACTTGCATGAAGCTGGAAAGGGTTACAAAAGTATCTCCTTGAGCCTTGATGTTCATGTGTCCACGGTAAGACAGACTGTCTACAAATGGAGAAAGTTTAGCACTGTTGCTACTCTCCCTAGGCGTGGTCGTCCTGTAAAAATGACTGCAAGAGCACAGCGCAGAATGCTGCATGAGGTAAAGAAGAATCCCAGAGTGTCAGCTAAAGACCTACAGAAATCTCTGGCACATGCTAACATTTTTGTTGACACATCTACAATAAGGAAAACATGAAACAAGAATGGAGTACATGGGAGGACACCACGGGGGAAGCCATTGCTGTCCAAAAAGAAGATTGCAGCACGTTTGAAGTTTGCAAAAGAGCACCTGGATGTTCCACAGCACTACTGGCAGAATATACTGTGGACAGATGAAACCAAGATTGAGTTGTTTGGGAAGAACACACAACACTATGTGTGGAGAAAAAAAAGGCACAGCACACCAACATCAAAACCTCATCCCCACTGTGAAACATGGCGGAGGGAGCATCATGGTTTGGGGGCTGCTGGGCTGGACGGATTGTTGTCATTGATGGGGAAAAATGAATTCCAGAGTTTATCAAGACATTTTGCAGGAAAAGAAAAGTACGACCATCTGTCCGCCAACTGAAGCTCCGCAGAGGATGGGTGATGCAACAGGACAATGACCCAAAAGCATACAAGTCATTCAACAAAACAATGGCTGCAACAGCACAGAATACGCCTTCTGGAGTGGCCCAGTCAGAGTCCTGACCTCAAAAACCGATTGAAATGCTGTGGCATGACCTTAAGAGAGCAATTCACACCAGACATTGCAAGAATATTGCTACACTGAAACAGTTTTGTGAAGAGGAGTGGTCCAAAATGACTCCAGATCGTTGTGCAGGTCTGATCTGCAACTACAGGAAACGTTTGGTTGAGGTTATTGCTGCCAAAGGAGGGTCAACCAGTTATTAAGTCCAAAGGTTCACATACTTTTTCCTCCCTGCACTGTGAATGTTTACATGTTATGTGCAATTAAACCATGGCAACATCTAATGTTTGTGTAGTATTATGTTCAGCAGACTGTGTTCTTCTATTGTTGTAACTTAGATGACGTTCAGAGCACATTTTATGCCCAATTCATGCAAAACTCCACGTAATCCCAAGGGGTTCACATACTTTTTCTTGCAACTGTATATAAATTCTTGGCTTTGGTTTTTCGTGGAATTTTTTTTTTCTTTTCCAATCTTTATATGATTTTGTAAAAGTCATATATACGTATATCTACTATTGCAGGAGGTTAAGTATATAAAGTCATATATAGATGTATCATTGAAGGACGTTATGTATATAAAGTCATATATAGATGTATCATTGAAGGATGTTAAGTATATAAAGTCATATATAGATGTATCATTGAAGGACGCTTAAGTATATAAAGTCATATATAGATGTATCATTGAAGGACGCTAAGTATATAAAGTCATATATAGATGTATCATTGAAGGATGTTAAGTATATAAAGTCATATATAGATGTATCATTGAAGGATGTTAAGTATATAAAGTCATATATAGATGTATCATTGAAGGATGTTAAGTATATAAAGTCATATATAGATGTACCATTGAAGGACGTTAAGTATATAAAGTCATATATAGATGTATCATTGAAGGACGTTAAAGTATATAAAGTCATATATAGATGTATCCATTGAAGGACGTTAAGTATATAAAGTCATATATAGATGTACCATTGAAGGACGTTAAGTATATAAAGTCATATATAGATGTACATTGAAGGACGTTAAGTATATAAAGTCATATATAAATGTATCATTGAAGGACGTTAAGTATATAAAGTCATATATAGATGTATCATTGAAGGATGTTAAGTATATAAAGTCATATATAGATGTATCATTGAAGGACGTTAAGTATATAAAGTCATATATAGATGTATCATTGAAGGATGTTAAGTATATAAAGTCATATATAGATGTATCATTGAAGGACGTAAGTATATAAAGTCATATATAGATGTACAAAGAAAAAAGAAACTGGCTTTCTTATCCCCCTCCTTTGATAAGTTATACTTATCCATGTTCCTTGCCGACAATAGCCATTATTAGACTGGGGTAGGCTGGCAGGTTGAGCTGGATAGTTCTATTTTTTACCATATATAGATGTATCACTGAAGGACGTTAAGTATATGATATATTTATTGATAGTTGTAATAAAGGCCGTTTGGACCATTATCTCCAATTTTGTTGTCTGTGTGGTTACTTCAGGGGGATAGGTCATGGTCAGGGGGGTAGATAATGGTCAGGGGGGTATGTAATGGTCAGGGTATGGTAATGGTAGGTAATGGTCGGGGGGGTAGGTAATGGGGGGGGTAGGTAATGGTCAGGGGGGTAGGTAATGGTCAGGGGGGTAAGTAATGGTCAGGGGATAGGTAATGGTCGTGGGGGTAGGTAATGGTCGTGGGGGTAGGTAATGGTCGGGGGGGTACGTAATGGTCAGGGGGGTAGGTAATGGTCGGGGGGGTAGGTAATGGTCAGGGGGGTAGGTAATGGTCGTGGGGGTAGGTAATGGTCGGGGGGGTAGGTAATGGTCAGGGGGGTAGGTAATGGTCGTGGGGGTAGGTAATGGTCAGGGGGGTAAGTAATGGTCAGGGGGGTAGGTAATGGTCGTGGGGTAGGTAATGGTCGTGGGGGTAGGTAATGGTCATGGGGGTAGGTAATGGTCAGGGGGGTAGGTAATGGTCGGGGGTAGGTAATGGGGGGTAGGTAATGGTCAGGAGGGTAGGTAATGGTCGGGGGGTAGGTAATGGTCAGGGGGGTAGGTAATGGTCAGGGGGGGTAGGTAATGGTCGGGGGGGTAGGTAATGGTCGGGGGGTAGGTAATGGTCAGGGGGGGTAGGTAATGGTCAGGGGGGGTAGGTAATGGTCAGGGGGGTAAGGTAATGGTCAGGGGGGTAGGTAATGGTCGTGGGGGTAGGTAATGGTCAGGGGGGTAGGTAATGGTCGTGGTAATGGTAGGTAGGTATGGTCAGGAGGGTGGGGGTAGGTAAATGGTCAGGGGGTAGGTAATGGTCAGGGGGGTAGGTAATGGTCAGGGGGGTAGGTAATGGTCAGGGGGGTAGGTAATGGTCAGGGGGGTAGGTAATGGTCGTGGGGGGTAGGTAATGGTCAGGGGGGTAGGTAATGGTCGTGGGGGTAGGTAATGGTCATGGGGGTAGGTAATGGTCGGGGGGGTAGGTAATGGTCAGGGGGTAGGTAATGGTCAGGGGTAGGGGGGGGGGGCTGGAACAAGCCATCTTTAGTCCCCCAGTCATGACTGAACGCTTTGAAACGCCGATGCAAATTCATTTTCTAGGCCGTGGCTCACACAAGGTGCGGAATACCTGGAGAGTAGAATCCTCGCAGCCTGGGGCTTGTAGTCACTTATCGGGATCGGTGAGAGAACAGCACACACTTCATCATCAATGTGATCCAGCTGCTCCGCTCAGAACAATGCTCTCAATAAAAGACGATCGGCACTTTCAGCAAATGTTTGCACAACTTCCTCCTGGAATCCTGCAGCCTACGGTTTTTTTTTTTTTTTTTTTTATCTGTTCCCAAGAACGTTATCGCTTTCTAGTCGTATAATTTCGTCTTTAATGACTGTTTAAGTCTCCATAATTGGAGTAACGGCGTGCCAGATAACAAGACGAGAAATATTTAATATCGATGTCTTAAAGTTTGTCTGACACATTTCATAGGGGAAGAAAAACACTTCTTTCTGAGTAATCGCGGGTGATTGATAATTCCCTTACGGACTTGCTTTGTACATTTTTGTTTGTAGACGGCTCTGAATAAATACATTTCTTTCTTTCAGCGTTTTGATGTTTCCTCTTTTATCACAGACACGCATAAGAGATTTTTTTTTTGTTTTGTCCTTATTGTTTTTTTTTTTTTGCCTGAAATTCTGCAATTTATGAATAAATCAAATCGCTACTTGAATTTCAAGTGGGTGAGAACTCTGGAATATAGGGCGCTGTGTGCGGCGCAGGGATGTGATAATGGCTGAAATCAATTTTGAAAAAAACCTTGTAGTGTGACAAACAAGAAATTGGAAGCGGATAATAAAAAAGTAGGATTTTTTTTTTTTTAAGTTCTGGCTGGAGTTGCATGTAATAAATTTGCAAGTTGACCAGCTTTACGTATTGTCTGTAAACTGTCTCCTATCAGGGGAGCGATAATGAAAAGGAAACACTGTATACTGACAGTTGTGCTCAAAAGTCTCCCTCCCCTGGCAGAAATGGTGAAATTTTGGCATCGACGATGAAAATGTATTTATTCCAGGTACTTATATAGCGCCTTCAATTTACATATATATTGTACAGTCACATCAGTCAGCAATCTAAGGTCCCTAATTCATACATACACATACTAGGGCCAATTAAACTACCTGCATGTCTTTGGAGTGTGGGAGGAAACCGGAGGACCTGGGGTTCTCTGAATCTTCCACTTCTTAACCACTTCAAGTCCGGACACTTTCCCCCCCTTCCAGTCCGGACACTTTCCCCCGTTTCCAGTCCGGACACTTTCCCCCCCTTCCAATCCGGATATTTCCCCCCCCTTCCAGTCCGGACACTTTCACCCCCTTCCAGTCCAGATACTTTCACCCCCTTCCAGTCCGGACACTTTCACCCCCCTTCCAGTCCAGACACTTTCACCCCCTTCCAGTCCAGACACTTTCCCCCCTTCCAGTCCGGACACTTTCCCCCCTTCCAGTCCGGACACTTTCACCCCCTTCCAGTCCGGACACTTTCACCCCCTTCCAGTCCGGACACTTTCACCCCCTTCCAGTCCGGACACTTTCACACCCTTCCAGTCTGCACACTTTCACCCCCTTCCAGTCCGGATACTTTCCACCCTTCCATACTTTCCCCCCCTTCCAGTCCGGATACTTTCCCCCCCCCCTTCCAGTCCGGACACTTCCCCCCCTTCCAGTCCGGACACTTTCCCCTCCTTCCAGTCCGGACACTTTCACCACCTTCCAGTCCAGATACTTTCACCCCCTTCCAGTCCGGACACTTTCACCCCCTTCCAGTCTGCACACTTTCACCCCCTTCCAGTCCGGATACTTTCACACCCTTCCACACTCCCCCCCCTTCCAGTCCGGATACTTTCCCCCCCTTCCAGTCCGGACACTTCCCCCCCTTCCAGTCCAGACACTTTCACCCCCTTCCAGTCCAGACACTTCCCCCCCCCTTCCAGTCCAGACACTTTCACCCCCTTCCAGTCCGGACACTTTCACCCCCCTTCCAGTCCAGACACTTTCACCCCCTTTTCGGACCCCCCCCCCTTCCAGTTCTGGACACTTCCCCCCCTTCCAGTCTGGACACTTTCACTTTCCCCCCCCCCCCTTCCAGTCCGGACACTTTCACCCCCTTCCAGTCCGGACACTTTCCCCCCCTTCCAGTCCGGACACTTTCACCCCCTTCCAGTCCGGACACTTTCACCCCCTTCCAGTCCGGACATTTTCACCCCCCTTCCAGTTCAGACACTTTCCCCCCCCCTTCCAGTCTGGACATCCCCCCCCCCCTTCCCCCCAGGTCACTTTTCAGCTTTCAGCATCATCACGCTTTGAATGACAATTGCGCGGTCATACAACACTGTACCCAGATGAATGTTTTAGCATCTTTTTGAGACAGATAAAGCTTTATTTTGATGGTATTTATTCACCGCTGGGATTTTTTTTTTTTTTTTTTTTTGCTATGTAAATGAAAAAGTCCAAACATTTTGAAAAAAAGTGTTTTTCTTATAAAATTTTGCAAATAAATAATATTTTATCATAAATCTCAGCCAAAATGTATTCAATTATCTTTTTAGTAAAAAAACAAAAAAAAATTAGTTTATAACCAAAAATTATAATTTTTAAACATTTTTTTTTTACATTTATTTTTTTTTATATTATTATTTATTTATTTTTTTTTTTACATACTGTCACCCTAGCAGTGCATTGTCACCATGGTGACATTGTACTACTTGTGGGGGGGGTGATGAAGATTTTTTTTACACTGATTGCTTTTACACCCATAAAGGTTGTAAAAGCAATCATTTCTCCTGTGAGAGCAGTGATTGGTCACAGCTTGTCACGTGGTACAAGGCTGTTGTGAATGGCCCTGTACGATGTGACCTTTGTGATCATTCACAGATTTCACACGTAGTAAGCAATGATGTTAGAAGTGACATCTTGCTTACTATTCTGAGTGATCACTGATTGGCCAATCAGTGATCACATGATCGGGACCTCATAGAGAGGTCCCGTACGATGATCAGTGTTTCACTGTGTCCGGAGGACACAACGTGCACCGGATCGTGGTCCTGCACGCTACCAGGGAGCACGCACAAGCAGGGGGCGGGGAGGCCGTTTATAAACACCCACCCGCTCCTGCACTGCCACCGTCTGGCCGTTTATATATAACGGCCGGACGGGAGGTGGTTAATTAGTGATTGAACGCACTGACTGGCATATTCAAGGCTCTGGATATCTTTTTATATCCTTTTCCACCTTTATAAAGTTCCATTACCTTGTTACGCAGGTCTTTTGACAGTTCTTTTCTGCTCCCCATGGCAGAGATTCTGAAGTGTAAAATGAGGTCCATCTTCCAATGGGCCCAATCCTACCCTCAACAGGCAGTTCAAAGGTTAATCACTCCACTCCTTCCTTGCAAGCAGCCATACTCAAAGAGAAAGGAGAAGAGAGCCCATAGTGAATACTAATAGACTCTATTGCTGTGTGGATATCGTGGGATACTCCAGAACACTGAAAAACAATATTAGGATTCTCTTCTCTCTGCAGCTACTTCTTAGAACAGCCCGTTCAGCAAAAAATCAGGATATGGACAGCACTGGGACACCAAAAGCAGCTTTCCAGGCCAGGCAAGCCTTAGAATTAGTGCACTAGGAGTTAACAGCAGCAACAGTCACCCAGATCCTGTACACATAAGTCCTTGGGTACTTGGTTGCCTCCCCCAGAGTCAGGCAGACATTTTCTTATTGGACTTTCCAGACTGGACCCTAGGTGAAGTCTCTCTTTTTCTAGCTTCAAAGTCTCTCAGCAAGTCGGTTCCCATGGTTTAGCATTAGTAAATGTCATCTGGACTGATGGAGAGGGCAGCAGCCATCCAGGCTGGGAACTTCTCCTCATGGACAAGAACAGGGCTGCCTCTGGCCCCAGACTCTCCATCCCCTTACTGGGCAACCTCAACCCAGGGATTGGCTGATGCACACAAATATTCAAATTGCTTGTTTGACTCTCCAAGCCCACTACTTTGCAGAACTCTCCAGAAAGCAGGAGGAAATAGTCAAACCTGCACCTGCAGAGCACAGAACAGCCCAAAGCCATCGCTCACTGCTCTATTGATTACTGGAGGGCTACAAGGACTACATTTACCTAAGTTATCTAGCAACCTATCTAAGAGGGTCACTAGAAGTCACTACAGGAGAATTGGAGGAACCTAAGAAAAAGTCACTACAGGAGAAGTGGAGGAAATTCAGGAGAAGTCACCACAGGAAGAATGGAAGAACTTCAGGAGAAGTCAAGACAGGAGAAGTGGAAGTACTGCATGAGACATCATGGCAGGAGGAGTGAAGGAACTTCATGAGAAGTCACTGCAGTAGGATTAAATGAACTGCAGGATTAGTCACTACAGGTGAAGTCACTACAGTAAAAAGTGGAGGAACTTCAGGAGAAGTCACTTCAGAAGAAGTGGAAGAACTTCAGGAGAAGCCACTACAGGAGAAGTGGAGGAACCTTAGGAGAAGTCACCACAGGAGAAGTAGAGGAACTTCAGGAGAAGTCACCACAGGAAGAATGGAAGAACTTCAGGAGAAGTCAAGACAGGAGAAGTGGAAGTACTTCAGGAGACATCTTGACAGGAGGAGTGGAGGAAACTTCATGAGAAGTCACTGCAGTAGGATTAAATGAACTTCAGGATAAGTCACTACAGGTGAAGTCACTACAGTAAAAAGTGGTGGAAATTCAGGAGAAGTCATAATAGGAGGAGTAGAGGAACTTCAGGAGAAGTCACTTCAGAAGAAGTGGAAGAAACTTCAGGAGAAGTCAATACAGGAGAAGTGGAGGAACCTTAGGAGAAGTCACCACAGGAGAAGTAGAGGAACTTCAGGAGAAGTCACCACAGGAAGAATGGAAGAACTTCAGGAGAAGTCAAGACAGGAGAAGTGGAAGTACTTCAGGAGACATCATGAGAGGAGGAGTGGAAGAACTTCATGAGAAGTCACTACAGGTGAAGTCAATACAGTAAAAAGTGGTGGAACTTCAGGAGAAGTCATGACAAGAGGAGTGGATGAACTTCAGGAGAAGTCATGTCAGGAGAAGTGGAGGAACTTCAGAAGAAGTTGCAACAGGAGAAATGGAGGAACTTCAGGAGAAATCACAACAGCAGGATTGGAGGAACTTCAGGAGAAGTGACTACAAGAGAAGTGGAGGAATTTTAAGAGAAGTAAAAACAGTAGGAGGGAAGGATCTTCAGGCGAAGTTACTACAGGAGAAGTGAAGAACTTCAGAAGTCACTACAGAAAAAGTGAAATAACTTCAGAAGTTATGAAAAAATGAGTGGAGGAACTTCAAGAAAAGGCACTTCAAAAGAAATGGAACTTTAGGAGAATTCACAACAAAAGGAGTGGAAGAACTTCAGGAGAAATCACTACATTAGGAGTAGAGGAACTCAGTAAGCACAGAGCCCGGAATTCAACCCTACTGAACACCAATGGGATAAGTTGGAAGTATGAGCCAGGTCATCTCATCCAACATCAGTACTTGACCTCATTATTTTGTTTTGGCTAAATAGGCATAAATTCCCAAAGACACTCCAAAATGTTGTGGAAAACCTACCCAGAAGAATGGAAGCTGTTGCAGTGGTGGTGGAATGGGGGCAACTCCCTTTTAATGTCCATGGTTTTGGAATGGGATATCCAACAAGCTCCTTCTAGGTGTGATGGTCAGGTGTCCACAGACGTTTGGACATATATTGTATAAGAAACTGTTGGTTCTACCCCACGCCTTCCTCAAAGAAATGCGATGTTAGTTTTGGTTGAACCAACTTTGTAAATATCTTTTTTTCATTGCCGCTGTCTACCTACAAGCTTCAATATTATTAAAAACCAGAGGAAGGAAGACGGAGTAGAAAATGACAGACAAAAACAATGATGCACCGTATCATCGCAGACTAAAATAACACAAAGTACCGAGAAATCATTTCTAGACGGTTTTAGGTATAAGTGGGTAATTCCCGGGAAAAACTATTTTAGAGGAACATATTTCTGTGTTTCGGAGAATTAACCGGGTGCTGCAATCCACCAAGCCGCATTTACAAACATCCATCCACTTTTTTTTATCTGCTGCAATAAATGTTGTATTGCGCCGGCTGTTATTATTGCTACATTACAGCTCCGGAGTCAGAGACGTATCACTGTGTGTTGTCGGGAGTCTAGCATGGAATGGGGAAATGCCAGTACTAGCAGCAGAAGGTCCCCTATCCAGCAGAAAGGTCTAACCAGGACTTATGGACGGGTATGCTTGGAGTGAGCACACTCAGCCACTCCCACTGGGTGGTACTTTTCTTGCCATTTTTTTAGCTCCAGGGGAAGTCTAGTAGGTCACCTCCTGGTCTCTTGGGAACTTTTCTGTCCTATTTTTACGTATTTTTTTCCTGTGTTGTATTGAACTGAATCAGGTTACCATTGGTCTATTATAGAATGCATAAATCTAGTGGTGGTGTCAGGGGTGGACTGACCATTCGGAACACTCGGACACCACCCGAGGGCCCGGGGTCAGTAGGGGGCCCCATGAGATGCCCCTTTGTGCCTTTCATATGCTTTTTTGGGAGTGGTTTGAGTGTGGGTGAGAGGACACAGGGGCCCCATGATCCCCTATTGTCCAGGGGCCCCATGAGTTGTCAGTCCACACCTGGGTGGTGTATAGCCACTACAGCTTGTTTACTTATGTGATTTGGTATCTCTCTCTGCCCTCATCTTCTATTTAGTGCTAGTTAGTTCAGTCCTTGCTAGACCCTCCGTGTTTCTTCCATGTTACCACCTCAGTCAGTGTTAGTACATCGCAGAGACAAGACTTAGGAAGTCATTGTCTTCTTCAGGC